TTTCGTTTATAGCTAATTGTTTGTAAGCTAACTACTTCGACATACTGTATTTAATATGATATGAATATAAATATTAAGAGCTTTGAACATACTGACATAATTTCGGAGGAGCCGCGCTAAAAAGAGCTACTAACTTATCAAGAATATAAACTATAGACTATGTGTATGCACGAGTGTATTAAGCTTTATTGTATTGAAGGGGCTGGGCTGGCCTGGAGGCGATGGCTTTGCTAGTCAGGATCGCAGCAACACTTCTGCGAGCGCGTCCAGCAAAACAATCGTCACGTCGCCGTTTCATCACAGATTCATGCGTTTCCAGAACTCCAGACTATGTGAAAGCGCCGGACTTGAGGATGCATGTGATGCGGATGAGGCATTGCTTACCAGCTGCGCGTACACCTCACGCATGGCAGTGGGACGATTATCCAGGCTGCTGCCCAGATTACTTCCCAGATTGCTTCCCAGGTTGCTGCCCAGGCTGCTTGAATTAGCCGTTGTGTTGCCAACATCGCTTAGCGCGTCCAGCAGGCCCAGAAGATTTGGTCCCCCGGCTTGAGGTGAAGTCACCTCAGTGCGGCTGCTTGGCGCTGTGTGCGGCCGCTGGGCCAGTTGAGTGGCTGGGCAGGTGGAATTCAGTATACTTGTGGGTGCACTCCAAGGACGCGATGGTGGCTTCGTGTTAGGCTTTGGCAAAGCATCTGTTCGCGTCGGAGGCTGTGCTTCGGCATGGGTGCCAAAAAGCTGATGCATTCTGGCCATCGAACGCTGCAATTTGCGACTGGCGGGCGGCGTTATCGCCTCATCGCCGCCATCCCCACCACTGCTCACTCTGTCCATGTCTGGCAGCGAGGAAAGCGTGCCGCTGCTTAGCAGGTCAGCTTCCAGCTCAGCGCCGAGCTGCGATTCGGCGGTCATCAGTTGCAGGCTGGCGGGCTGGGAGACGCGCGCCAAAGTCGCCTCCACGCGGCTCAGCAGATGTTGTGTCTCATGCTGCACCTGATCGGCCAGCATTTTGTTTGCCATTGCTGGGAGCTCCAGCTCCAGTTCCAACTGCGGAGACGTCGCTGCAGCTGCTGGCAGCACTGGGTGTGAGGTAGCCTGTAGCTCTGAGAAGAGTTTGCGTCTGGCAACGGCAATGGCATTGGTGAACTGATAACTTTCCTGATCCAGCTCGGAGCCACTGTAAATGGGTGATGCCACTGGCGGAATCGCCGTGTTTAGCTGCACATCCTCACGCCGTATGCGTCGCTGCCACTCCCGAAAGCTGTCCAATGTGCGATGAATCTGCTGGCGCTCGCGGGCACAACTAGCGCGGATATTGAGCTTCTGTTTTTGGGCGCGCGCACGCTCCAGATAGCCCAGGAAGCTCTGTTCCAGCAGATCGCTCTCCTGCTCCAGCTGCAGCATGCGGTTTCTGTGGATATTGATGGATCAATTAGTCGAGTGCATGTGAAGCATTCGATGGGTTGTACCTACTTGGCGCTAAGCAGCGCTTCATTGAAGCTGGGCACGACTTGTGCACGTGCATCCGCAATGGTGTGCTTAATCTGGCCATTGGTGTTGGTAGCAACACTGTTTAGCTGCGGTCTTGGTGGTTCAACAGCAGCTGCGGGAGCGGGCGGAGCAGTCGGGCCAGCACCAGTTGAGGACGCATCTAAGCCCAGCACACTGTGTGGAAACGATGCGGATATTGTCCTTGCTGTTGATGCAGGCGGTACTGGTGGCGATTTCGATTTGGGTCTACTTAATGCGGACGGTAGACGGCTGACATCATTGTTGATCTCCGCGTCGGTCCATACCGGCTGGATGCGTGCTGTCTGCTCGGCAGCCAATTCCGTTTGCTGTATCTTCTCGGCTAGCAGCTGGTGATGGGCCTCGTAGTGCTCCAGCAGCCGAAATATCTTGTGCACTAGTTCACGGGCCTCCGAGGAGTGCGAGTCGCGCTCTACATGCCGGCACAGAGTCTACAATGGAGATTAATTAGGGACTAAGGGCAAATTGGGGTCGAGCTGGTGGGCAATACTCACGCGCCAGGAGCTCTGCCTGCGACTTAGGCGCATCAGTTCAGCGTGATGACGCAGTTTTACATCAAAGAGCTCATCCAGGCGTTGCTTTTGCTGTTCCAGTGCTTTGTTCAGCGACAGTTCAACACGCTCCAAAAAGATGTGACCACTATGGCTGTGCAGCATCTCATAGATCCATTGCTCATAGCTACGTGACGGTGCTGCTTTGGTAGCGGGTGCCGGAGCGGGTACGGGCGCTGCAGCCGCAACTGGGACTGGAGCTGGAGTCGTCTGGCTGGCGGCATCTTTCAAGCATTGCTGCAAGGGATCCGTGTTGGTGGTAATGTGCCGCTGGCGCAGTCGCCTCGTTTGGGTGGCGACCGTCTGCATTGCGCTTGGTGCTGACAGTGTTTGGGTTTGGCTGGAGGTGTCCCGGTGCTGCTGTTTCTTCTGGCACTGCATGCCCTCCTGCACGCCCATATAGTGGCCATGGGAGAAGCCCTCGCGATAGCCCAACTTAAAGCCTTTGTGCCTGCCCACGGCGTACTCTTGCTCCATGGCCAGATTGAGCACATTGCTCAGCGTTTGTACACAGCCGGCGAGCTCGCCCACCAGCGCTTCCAGCCGGTCCAGCGTTATGTACATGCAATCCTGGGGCTGATGCGTCTGCTGCTGGAATTTCTGCAGAGCTTGCTGCACCATGGCCAGGCTGGCCACCTGCTCCGCATGCAAGTGCGGCAGCTTTGGCACTGATGGCGAATCCGCCGGCAATTGTATGGGCCCCACCGGGGACAACACTGTGTTGCCATCCTGTCTCGCCACCTGCGTCTCCTGCACCTGCGTCAGCTCTGGCAGCTGTATGGCCGTCTGTCCAGGTCCCAGCGTTTGTCCAGTAACTAGCAGACGCTCGCGTTCAAGTATCTCCTGCTGCAGCAGCTTCTCAAACGCTTGGTACGGGATTATTTCGACAGGTGGCGCACAGGATTTACAGAGTGCGTTCATGTAGTGCATCAGCTGGGATAGCTGCTGCTCGACGCCGTTCAGCGACTGTGAGACGCGTGGTCCAATGAACACAGTGCGTCCGTCGGCGGCCGCAACTAGCTCCTCGGTCTGGTACAGCCGGCTCTTGTCCACATCCGGCTCTGTTTGCGTGGCCTCTGTCCTGGTCTCCCATGTCCTATGTGTCATTGTGCTTTCGCTGATCTGTGTCAAATCCGTGCGACGCAAACCCACCAGAGTTTTGAGCAGCGCCAGCAGCAGCGACTGCTTCGGTTTGCTATAAGTCTGAACTAACGTCTGCCCGAACTGAGCCGGCGTTTCCCTGTGCTCGCCCAACACTGCAGTGAGCACCTGCTGCAGCTCTTCCTGGTTAAATCGAAACTCGGCCCGCCCCTCGAAATCGGGCAGCGTATGGCGATGCGGCATCTCGCTGCAGAAAACGGAGAGCGTGTAATGGAAGTTCTGCTCATAGAGAAACTCCGCGACGAGCGTGTGCAGCGCCAGCGCTATGGGCGACAGGAGCAGGCAATTCTGTTGCTGGCTCACCTGTGCAGCGGTCGCTGACGCCTTGCTTAGCAGCTGGCCTGACAGTAAAATTGGGGGGGGGGATTAATGCGCTGCTGCTGCTCTACCGCAAAACGGATGCCACTTACCCAGCGAGGTGCTGTTGAAGGTGTTGATGAGATCCATGCGCAGATGTGCATGCATTTTGCCCTCGATGCCCTCCTGCGTCATCCAGTGGCGGAACTCACGCTCGAAGTCCTGCTGCGACAATTGCGCCAAATGCTCTAGCTGCAGTCGAAGTTTCGCGGTCTCCTCGTCAGTGGTGCCGGAGCTGGAGCCGGAGCCAGGAGTGGTGGCGGCAGCTGTGCCATTGCCTGTGGCTGCAGCAGGGGCAGGGCCAGCGCAATAGGTAACAGCAGTAGAGGCAGCGTCTGGTTTTATGTGGATCTTCTCCGGCTGCTTGACAGCTTTTGCCGGCTGCGGCTTTGCTCTGTCATTGATGGGCTTTGAGAACGGACGCGCTGTTGACGGCGCCGACGCCAGCGCCGGAGACGGCGTTCGTCTCCTGAGTACAGCAGCTCTCTTCAGCTGCGCCTGCGCTTCTCTCTCCTTTCTGGCCGCCTCGTGCTTGCGCTCGCGTTCGCATTGCTGTGGCTGTGGCTGTGGCTGGCGCTGTCTCAGTCTGATTAAATCTTCTTCTTTGCTGCGCTGCCTGACGGTTGTCAGTCGAGTGCTTCCGGCAGCGCTCGTCGCAGCGCTCGTCGCAGCAGCAGCAGTTGGCTTTTGCTTTGTTTTCATTCCGTTTCGAATTTGAACACTTGCAATTTGGTGCGCATCGGTAGAAGTTTCAGTTTCAGCTTTAGATTTTCGCTATAGCTTCAATTACAATAATTTTCTTATTTATTTGTGCACATTTTATGTGTTTTACTTGTTTCTGTGTTGCTGCTGTTCTCGCTCTCTTTGTAAATGTTATTGTTCTACACTGCGATGTTGCCGGCACAGCCAGCGCTTGGTAAATAGTTTTAGGCGCTGCACCAAGCTGCAGCCACCACCGTCAGGTGGCCAACTTTGACAGCAGCGGCAGCGCTGCCTGCGTCGCAGGACGCGAAATGTTCAACTGCCGGCGGTCAACCGGAACGTTGCAGGTGCAGCAGCAACAGCAGGAGCAGGAGCAGTCGCAGTCGATAATCAGTCTAGCGGTTTTCCAGTTGCTCATTGCAAGACTTGTTAGAATACATATGTAAATATGCTTCGATGAAATACACACAACATTTTGTGCACATTCAATCAAAAAATTTTACTAACACATTCGGTTTACAAATTGTTCAACAAATCCTGTCATTAAGTATTGTTTTTTCTTCTGCATAAATAGTTGACAGGAATTGTAGAAAAAAAAAGCATTTTGAAATACAAACGCCATAAATTGCGCAGCAACGTCCGACACACAGACAAAAGCTGCTTTCGTTGCCAATCGATACATCGATTACACGTGCTATCGGCTATCGGCACAACTATCGGCAAGGAATCGAAACAAACACCACGCATTTATTTCAACAGCACACGTTCAACAAAGGGAACAAAGACGACTTGCAGGTAAATATATGCATAATGCGCACACAAAGGCACATTTTGCACTGAGGCTATGTGACGTGGTGCTCTATTTGGTTATTATGCTAACCCAAAACAATTTCATCAGCAGTGAAACGAAAAACGCGCAGTCATCATTTTGAGTAGCACTTGGAGCAGCAGTCACGCACAGCTCCCATGTCGCAGATTGACAATATTTTTAATCAGGTGCGTGCCCGCCTGCAGGCCCAAAGCATCAAGCTGTGGGAGGAGCCTTACTATTCCGAAGGCGTGGGCAGCATTGAGGCCTCCATTGAAGTAAGTGCAACCCGGTCAGACCATGTGCAAACTGTAAGCATTTTGTTTGCCCTCTAAACAGCATCTGGCTGATGACTACGGCACCCAGCTGGGTATCGACGCATCACGCTGCAAGTGCGTACTTATAGAGCTGCAGGATAACGCGCTGCGGAAGCTCGCAGCTCGTCGGGAGTTCAGTGAAACGGGATTGGCCACGTTCAAGGTGCGACGGGTAGATAATCGCAATGGCACCACCAGCATACTGGACATCAAGTGTGACTTGAACGAACTGGGCTCCAAACTACAGCAGACGATTGCGGCCAAGCTGCAGCTCAGCGATGCCAATCACGTCAAGTGCATCTCGGCGGGACGCATTATCTCTCCAAATGCAACGCTGGCTGCACAGCAGCTCAAAAACAATCAGCAGCTCATTGTGATCGTTGGACAGGGCGACGACCAGAACGCGGCACTGCACGAGCGAATCGGCAAGATCAAGGCGGATGTCGATGCGGTGGTCGCATCCCAGAGCCAGCTAATGGAGGTGGGTATTCTAGGAATCATAGCAACAGCGAAATAGGCATCTATGAAGTGCCAAAGATTATTTATAAAAATCTTAAATGATTGATCGTTTGATCGATTGCGATTCGCAACATTACTAAGAGCCATTTGAGACGTTTTAGGGTTAAGTCACCAATTTGAGGGAGAGGGCGGTTGCACCTAATGAAGATGTGTACGATGATAGCTAACATTTTTGATATTACTCTTTCACCATTTCCCCACAATTGTGGACAATTTGAAGTGCTGTAAGAAACTCAGGGCCAGCTAGTCAGTCAGGACAATCAGTCTATAAAATTAATGTAGTAAGAGCTCTCAATTTAAGAGCGTATCACTAGCATATACTTTGTTCGCACCTTTATACCGTTCAGATATTTAAACGAACTCTTCTTACTTGAAAGCGACCTTGACCTGGCAAATATAGAAGGCGAACCATGGTATGCTTAGTTTCTTAGTTTCTTTCTAGCGTTAGTTCCTGGCATAATTGGGATCAGCCAGTGTCATAGCTTCGAGAAGGATATACGTGTTTAATTAGAATTTAATAGTATACTTGTTACCCATATAGATGGAGGATCAGGATGGCAATCCGGTGTTTCTGCCGCCAAACGAGAATCGCGCACTTTTAACGGGTATGGGCTACTGCGAGAAGGCGCGCGTGGCAATGCACCGTGAGGATTATGAGGAGGCGCTGCTACTGCTGCTCGAGGCGGATGAACAGTTTAACGCATGCGATTCCAAGTTTCTGGAAACAGTGGATAACTATGCTCTGCTCAATTTAGATATTGTGTGGTGCTATCTGTGCCTTAAGAATGTCTCCCAACTGCCGGATGCAGACCGCCGTCTGAGCATCTGCGAGCGCAGCTTTCAGCGCAGCTATGGCGAGAACTATTCGCGTCTTTACGCGCTTAAGGGTCGCGGCTGTCCGGAGCGTGCGCTTATTATGCGCTTGCATCTGCTCCAAGGTGTCGTGCTGTACCATCAAAACCAGCGGGATGCCGCCTATGAGCGCTTCGAGGCGGCTGCCGCGGTGCTCAGCGAGCTGAAAGTCAACGATGAGCAGCTGCTGCTGCTGGTCGAAATGGGCTTCGAGGTCAGCGAGGCGCGTCTCGCCCTGCGCTCCAGTTCGGGCAACGTGGAACGTGCGGTTCAGTACATACAGCAACGGAAACAACAGCTATCCGATGCCCGGAAACAGTCAAAGGGAGAGCGCGCCATGCACCGACGCTATGCCAAGCAGGCGACCAAGGACAGCGACTGGGTTAATCCGCGTAGCGTTTGCACCCTTACCGAAATGGGGTTCGATCGTCGCCTGGCGGCGGCGGCGCTGCGCCGCACCCAAAACGATGTGCCACGCGCAGTGAGTTAGCGAGTCCCTCTGTGCAAGCGCTTGACCTTATATGTGAATATCTGTGAATCCTTTTAGGTGGAACTGCTGCAGACCAATTCCGCTGAGTTGCGTGCAACTTTGCTTGAGTCGCAAAGCGCTGACGCCGTACAGCTGGCTGCCCTGTTGCAGCTGGGCTTCACAGAGCCGGCTGCACGCGCAGCCCTTGAGAGCGCACAAAACAATTTGGAGCAGGCAACGGATTTTCTGCTTAAGGCTATCCAGAGCGAGGAGGAGCTGTTGCAGACCGTTGAGCGTGTGACACAGCTGGCCACCAATGGCATTGGCAATGATGCAGCGTCCACGTCACAAGCGGCCATGTCACCTACCGGCTCCCTCATAGATGCCGTGCTGCAAAAGGCCAAAGCCGAGATGGAGGCATATCAGGCGTATAAGCGTTTGCACGCCGACCTCACGCACAGTGATCAGGACTATTTGGATTTGCCGCTGCTGCAGGAGGAACAGCTCCTAGCCGAGTACCGCAACTTGCTCGAGCAGTAAACGGGAGTCGCTAGCTGCGTTAGCTGTTTGTTTTTAGCATTTAAGCCATTAAATTTAATTACGTTCGTTACGGCGGCTACGGCACGCTATATAAAAACAGGTTTATCACATGTGGATAACTGTAATCATGACTTGTGTATTGCAAATCGGTGACTTATAATGGCACTTAAGTGGGTTTCCTCCCGTTGCTCCTAATCCCCGCATTACCGATGCCAGTATCCCAGACCCCTAACCCAGCTTCTGGTGATCTGTCAACTGTAAGCGTAGTGCGCATTGCGTCTTGGCAAATAGTCGCTACTAATATACATATTCATATATATGTTTGTATATATATATTAATGTATATATTATAATGTCTATGCAATCGAATCGCCAATCGAATAGTCTGTGTTTGTGTTTGTGTGTCACACAGCCTATTAGCGTCTCATGCTAATTCATTTTATTTACCCAACTGAACATATCATTGTCAATCTGCTGCTGCTGCTGCTGCTGCGCCCGTTTGACCTTGTGCCAGGCCAAAGGTTGGGGTACATTTTGTAAAGACTTCATTATTCTGGCAGGCAAAAGCCATATGCTGTGTAACGATCTTGAATTTCCTAAAGCATTTGGTATTGGGAATTCTAAATATTAAGCATAAACACTGGATAAATTGTGGCTGACATGCCAATTTCCGTAAACGCTCTTCCTGTTTTGCTGTTGTTGTGTGTTAGTGACTAAATGACATCAACTACGGACAATTATCGTAGCAGATGAGCCGACATAAGTTAACGGTCAACGAAGCGCAGCCCTGAAATCTCATTGTGGCCAAGGGATTCTGTATGCTGCTGTTGATTTTGGAATATTTTTTGTTGTTTTCCAAATAACCATTGTTATTGGCAGTCAACAGTTTTTAACAATTTCGAATGCTGTAATTAAATCGTTTTATTAAACAGTGATTATTATATATGTACAAATGTTCTATCAAAGAGGGGCTTGACAAAGTACTCATTTTTAAAATGGCCTCCATTTATCTTCAACTATGATTAAATAATATACCTTCTTTTTATACCCGCAACCCATTAAAAAAGCTTAAAAAGGGTATAATGTATTTGTGCATATGTTTGTAACAGGCGTTCATACATACGGACGGACGGACAGATGGACATGGCTAGATCGACTCAGCTATTAATGCTGATCAATAATATATATACTTTATGGGGTCGGAGATGCCTCCTTCTGCCTGTTACATACATTTGGATTTTGCACAAATACAATATACCCGTATACCCATTTTTAATGGGTTCAGGGTATAATCATCCAAAAAGTTTCGATTTTCGCACCGACCTCGATTTTGAAATAAAACGTGATGTAACCCCTTGCCATTTTGTCGATTTGGGTCAAAATTTTGAATTTCCTATTTTTGATGCCAATCGATAGAACTGATCCTTACGAGCTAAAAATGGTATAAAATTCCAAACTCTGACATTATTTGACGGATATATTCCGAAAAATCATCAAAAAGGTTGAATTTACGAACGAATCGGTTTTTTGTCAACAACATTTTTCAACCTATCGATGACTAATTTGTTTGAATGCCAATTGATGGTAGGGATCCGTACGCATTCAAAGAGGTATAACATTTTAAGATCAGACATTATTTACCCGAGATATTAAAAAAAAATCATCGAAAAAGTTTCGATTTTAGCATCGACCTCGATTTTGAAAAAAAAATCTTAATGATTTGGAAGGTCATATCTCCGCGCGGAGCTATGTCGTTTTGGAACGTCATATCTCCGCGCGGAATTATGTCGTGTTGGAACGTCATATCTCCGCGCGGAGTTATGTTGTTTTGGAACGTCATATCTCCGCGCGGAATTATGTCGTGTTGGAACGTCATATCTCCCCGCGAGCTATTACCCGAGATATTAAAAATTTTATCGAAAAAGTTTCGATTTTCGCACCGACCTCGATTTTGAAATAAAACGTGATGTAACCCTTGCCATTTTGTCGATTTGGGTCAAAATTTTGAATTTCCTATTTTTGATGCCAATCGATAGAGCTGATCCTTACGAGCTAAAAATGGTATAAAATTCCAAACTCTGACATTATTTGACGGATATATTCCGAAAAATCATCAAAAAGGTTGAATTTACGAACGAATCGGTTTTTTGTCAACAACATTTTTCAACCCATCGATGATTAATTTGTTTGAATGCCAGTTGATGGTAGGGATCCGTACGCATTCAAAAAGGTATAACATTTTAAGATCAGACATTATTTACCCGAGATATTAAAAAAAAATCATCGAAAAAGTTTCGATTTTAGCACCGACCTCGATTTTGAAAAAAAAATCTTAATGATTTGGAAGGTAATATCTCCGCGCGGAGCTATGCCGTTTTGGAACGTCATATCTCCGCGCGGAGTTATGTCGTTTTGGAACGTCATATCTCCGCGCGAGCTATTACCCGAGATATTAAAAAAAAATTATCGAAAAAGTTTCGATTTTCGCACCGACCTCGATTTTTAAAGAAAATTTTGATGATTTGGAAGGAGCAGCTCTAACGATTGGCATCAAAAAAGGAAATCCAACATTTTTACCCAAATCGACAAAATGGCACGCTTTTTTTCAAAATAGAGGTCGGTGTAATAATCGAAACCTTTTCGATGATAAGACCTTGAACCCATTAAAAATGGGTAAATGGGTGCATACCCATAGCTTATATTTGAATTGAATAGTTATGGATTTGATTATTAAGTATTTCCACTTCCTAGCCTTTGGGAGCTGAAGACACAATAGAGATTGTGTGTGTCTGTGTGTGTTGTGCTTGATTGTTGTTGACGCGCTCTTAACGCTAATTGCAGGATAACTTCCAGTTGGGCACTCCCGACTAGTGTGCTTTAGGGCTTTTAGGATTAACGTATTAGTTCCGAGTACAGGGTATACAAATAAGATTCTTTTAACATTGTCTGCTGCCTTCTTTACTGCCATAAACCTTCAACCGGCAATAACAAAAACCTGGCTCTTAGTTCTACAATGGAATTCTTATTCTAGACTTTAATAGTTGCATTAATGGTTTAGGTTTTGTCTGTCGCATGATTAAAATTGCTGATTGGCATCGCTTACTGCGCTTTTAGTTGTTGTTTAATTTAACAATTACATAACTAGCCATATTAATACCCTGTAGTCATAATTGTACATTCAATCCGTTTGCTTTTATGTGTCGGATTGCAAAACGAGATACATATGTTTGTCAAAAGAATTAAGGGGAATTTTGGCAACAGAATGCATAAATATATAGCATTTATTAATGATACACTCGGGTAGAAGGTATCTGCTAGTCGAGCTGTCTTAATTGGTTTACTATTGTTGTTGGTCTTTCTTGTGGTTTTTGTTTTGGCTTTAATTCCACCTTTTTTCCACCACTTAGTATTTAACGTTTTTAATGACTTTGGCAATTATGCGCAACTGATACGCAACGAAGCGAAACTTTTGGCCATTTGATACAAACGGATATCTTGTTGTTTTGGCCAGAATGGTTCTGCTTTTGATTTTGGGTCCAAAGGCGCTTTACTGGTCCGCGTCCACCCAAAATTGTATTCAATTTTCGGTTGCAACCGTTCCATTTAATAGTTGTTTGATTTAAATACGCAAACTAAATTCTTCTTTTTGACTTTGGCCCAAAACTAGTTTTGAAATTTCATAAATTTTGGTAGCAAACCAAAAGTTTCCAGTTGAACGGGCACATTGTTGGCTTAGATTACAAACTTTGGCTTGTTGTTTGGCGAAATTAGTGGAAGATCGAGAATGCGTTGCTCAGTCTTGAACAAACTATCTTTTATAATCTTCTAGTCTGTCTATTCTATCTTTGAGCTTGTTCAATTTTGTATCTCTAATAATGTACAACATTTTGGTATATTAGCTTTCCATTCATTCTGTGGAAATTTGAGTTATACGAATTCGTTTGGCGGGTTCTAGTATTAACCGTATTGGAAGTACACTTGAACCCATATTGCTCATGCCGACTGTAATCTATATATATATATATATATATATATATGTGTGTGTATATGTGTGTATATGTATATCTGTCTATATGGAAAGTGTAGATACTGACTGATATTGATATGCAATTGGCGTTACAACTGTTTTGTATTGAAAATGACGGTAACCGGACTGCTTAGAGCCAAAATTGGCCATTTTAATCGGCCTGAAAAAGTAATATATTTGTTTTTTCTGTCTTGCAGCTGTTTTGAAATCAATGTTAGCTCGGCGATAATAAACTTTTGTGAATTTCGCTAAGTGAAACACTTTTTGGTTAATTCTGACTCCTTTCCACCGATTGGCTAATCCCAATGCTCAAGGATTGGCCAGCTAGCTTCAGCTAGAACCAATGGCAAATTGATAAAGATCGCTTCAGGCAAATCGAAGTTCCAACTCATTTACGTTTTGGCCAGAATTGAACGTACAAAGTGCGGATATGGAGCCTGTGCTGTGCACGCCTGACTTGCGCTCCCCAATAACGATGACTTTCAGTTTTCCGGGCGTTATATCAAATAATACGGTAGATAGGTGTATGTGGATATGGTTGTGTGTGTTCGCATTGAATCTGGGCGAAGAACTGTAATGTCATGCATTAAAGCGACAGGGAAACGGCCTTAATATATGGAATTAACTTATGGGAAACGGTGCAGCAATTAAAGCCATGCTATGCGACATCTCAATTTCCTGCGTTCTGCGTTCTCTTTTTGTTGTTGTTGTTGTTGTTTTTGATTGCTTTGGCCCAAAGTTCTGGCCGTGTAAAGCAGCTGCACGCCATCTGTTTACAGTTAGAACAGATCATGGAAAAGTTAAGCGCCAGCAGGAATGGGGCGTGGGTTGTACAGAGAGGGTAGGTAGGTGCTCGTAAAAGGGGTTGTTGCCGGGCTGTTATACGACTCCAAAGCCGATCGGCCAGGTGAGAAGCGGCCGCGCTAGCCCAGCCTAGCCGATCGTCGCTTGAATCGTTGGCACATTAAATCGCTGCGGCGCCGCAGCTGCGGAATTAAATAATTTTCCGTAAGCGCGCTTTGCGAAGCTCAGTTCAATTGCGGCAAGCGTTGTCAACGGACGTCTTTTCACAACCATAGCACAGCTTTTCAACGGCAA